CACACACACACACACACACACACACACACACACACACACACACACACACACACAAAGGGGGTCCGAAATCCCCCGACAGGTGAGTGCGCTGGGGGGGGCCGGCCCCCAACCGGGTGCCCTGCCCGGCCAGGCCGCCCGGGACCTCCCCCGGGCCCCTGCCGGTCACCCGGGCGGCCCGGATCCCCACTCAGGAAATTACTATAAAATTACTATAAAATTACTACAAAATATATTAAAATAATAAAATGACTATAAAATTATAAATACGAATGTGCTTTTTCGATAATTTATATTTGTTTGGTAAAGTAGCTATCAAAGATTTGAAAAACAATTGATTGCGGGGGGTGGGCGAGGGGTCTCCCCTTTAGTGTCATTTTATCCCCCCACAGGATTGTCTCTTTTTCTGTTAGCCAATGTTCATGGGCGTGAGCTGCGCACCCATCATTCAGGCACATCCGTGTCTCCACATCATCGTAGCCATACTGTGCGGGGGTACACCGGGTAGTGAAACACATTGCCAACATGCCCCACGGCAGGATAGCATCCCATCTGTGGAGGGAGCATGTTCCCCCTGCAATTGCGCTATTTGGCGTCCGGTACGGCACCATGTGTTCTGCTTGACAGGAGTCACAAAGATCATCTTCAGTAAATTGGTAACATAGCTGCATAGGCCTGTCAGGTTTCAGACCTTGCCAGAATGAATCTGGATGAACTTGCATCCTGGCACAGATCATGCACTTGACCGCCTTCCTGTCCATGTTCACCCTGACAAGAGCAGTGGACTTTCCCAGCGTCTGAAGGCGGAGCAAGTTCTGAGCAATGCAATTCATCCTTTGCTAAAATTGTTGCCACATGGTGATACCATAAGTGAAACGGTTTTCACCTTTTTCTGCAGTCACAGATGTGGGCCCTAGAGTTCGATCCCCAGACCTCACTTCTCCCATGTACAGTATTTAGTCGACCCCCGAGTGTTTGAACCCATGATCTGTGTTTTGGTAGTTGTTTGTCATCTGTCGTAGGTCTGTGTAGCAGTAGGGGTTTGATCTGTAGGTCTGTCGATTAGGAGTCACAGCTCTGTAGAGGTCGTGGCTGTAGATGCTCTGAAAGGTCAAGGTCGTAGCTGCTACAGTACCCGAACGGCCAAGTCCANCGTGGCTGTAGATGCTCTGAAAGGTCAAGGTCGTAGCTGCTACAGTACCCGAAAGGCCAAGTCCACAGCCTTCCGGAAGGTCCGGAAGTGGCCTTTCGAATTGTCTCACCTTTAGTCAGAGGCAAGTGGGCAAGTGGTGAGCCAACTGCGTTACGTCGGCAGTGCGACTGCATGGAGTTGGCAGTGCAAACCCATGCAGTCAGCGGCACCGGTCCCAGTCAGTCAGAGTCCAGTCCAGCAAGTACCGTGTGGAACTGTGTGCACCAAGGGCCTGGGAAAGGGGCAGACAGTTACAGAAGTATAAATCAAGAGGCAGTGCCCAGCCATTCATTCATTCGCTGCGTAAGCCATGTGGAAGCGCTGCTACAGCGCCTTCTGCGAAGGTGGTCTGCAGGTTGCCCGAAGACGAAGTGGGCTGAAGGAAGATCGTAGCCATAGTCAGTAGTGGTAGTGCGGCTATAGCCGCTGTAGGAGGAAGTTCGACAGTGTGTGTGTGTGTGGTGGTATTCAGGGTGATCCAGAGTGAGCGTGTGTGAACAGTGGGGTTGGACACGGTGACGAAGGTTGGGATGTTCAGGCGCTGATGCGCCATAGCCTGTGGAGGAGAACTTGCATCTAAACTGCGTTCTTGATTTCCATATCTCTAAGCTTTGAGTGGGCGCCCTGTGCCAGAGTGGATCTCCATCTGTTTGAATGTGTGCGAAGTGGAAAGAAAGCGAGTCTGATTGCATAAGTGGTAATTTGGCTTTTTTGGCTTGGAAGTTGGAAGTCTTTTTTCTGTATTGTTTACTTCTTTTTACTCTTTTTGCATCGGCCGTATTTTTTTAGGGTTTCCTGCTGATGCACTGCTTGAAACCTTGCCAGAATGAATCTGCATGCGTCTGCATCCTTGTACAGATTACGCACTTACCTGCCCCGCCTGTCCACATGCTCACCCAGAAGACAAGAGCAGTGGACTTTCGCAAGTTTCCGACGGAGGAGCAAGATCTCAGCGATGCAAATTCATGATTGCCAAATTTGTAGCAACATGATAATTAAATTGATAATGCACTGCTTGACACAGATACGACATGATGTGCTCGTCCGAAATGCAATGCCACTTGTTCACAATCGTTTCCCCTCCATGGCGTGTGTGTTCTGGACAGGCAGGAGCCGCAACGATCATATTTATTGACTTTCATTTCTTGCCTTGAAGTTCATGCCCACACGGGCTTTAAGACCTTAACCATCAACCTGCCGTGATTTCATTTTGCATTCTGGCTTCTTCTTCTCCTTTCTTTTTTCCAATGTAGCACCCCGTTCACATTCGGGGGGGAGAACGTGAACGTGCTCCAAAAACCGGCGAACGCAAACATAATAAAAAAAAAAAGAAAATGAAAAAGTTCTCAAACACCAGACGCAAAGCAGGGCTAGAGAAAACTTTGGATGCCCTATAGAGAACTGACAAACAGAAACATAACGCAACTCTCATGGGCTCGTCGTTCTTCATAGACATGGGCTCATTTTCCTTCATAGACAGTCTTCAGATCCTACAAGTTTTGCTATTTTCGTTAAGTGCCAAAAGGCCCAAAACATAGATTCAGAGAATTTCAGACCAAAATCTGTGACGTCCGTAAGGTGCCAATATTCCTTCATAGACAGTTTTCAGATCCTACAAGTTTTGCTATTTTCGTTAAAGTGCCAAAAGGCCCAAAACATAGATTCAGACCAAAATCTGTAACGTCCGTAAGGTGCCAAAAAAGGCTCAAAAGGCCCAAAAGGCCCAAAACAAGATTTTAAAGCTTCAGAGTCCAAACAAAGACAATCGCAACGACAGCAGCATCAATAATATATAATTAACAAAATTAATAAAACGAGAAATTAATTACGATCTTCATCTCTCCATTAGCCAGACGCCATCGTCATCTCCCTTTTGCCAACCATTCTCACTGCCAGGTCAGCCAAAGCGAAAATTATTTCAGGCATGGACCCAAGCTTTTCAGCCAAATTACACACAGGAAGACATGGCCAGGTAACCTCAGCCAAATTACCCTGGCTACCGTCTTCACCCGAATAGAATGCTGTGCCGTTTTTGCTGCATCTAGTAGCCTGAAAGTTGCCCCTAATACAGCTGTAATAGCCGGGGGTTTTATTCGGGTGAAGACGGTAGTGTTAGGCATCTTTCCCATCCATCTCTTCTACATCAGTCGCTGCAGGTCAGGTGAGCTGAAGTTCTTGAGGTGAGCCTCCAATCATCACAAGAGATTCAGACTTGTCTCTTGCTCCCCGCAACAGATCCCTCAGGGGGATCGATAGACATCTGGCAGTCAGCACACTTTACCGACGTGATGGCTCACCATCTCAGCCAGACCCACCAGCTGACTTTCAGCAGTAACAAGCACCTGATGACACTGTTTATCATTTTTTTTATTTTTTTATTATTATTATTATTATTATTATTATTTTTAATTTGGACCATTTCTCGATTTGTGTGTGTCATCCTTGCACAGGGGCCATGCTAATCTTCTCTGTATCGTTCCAATTTTAACGGATGTACCGAGGGACACACTGTTTATCATTCTGTGCATATGTGCAACGGACGTTGCGCACCATGCAGGGTAGGTTACTGCAAGGTCAGCAGACGATGGACAAAATTGCCATCTTACCACAGTAAGATGCACCTGGTCGCACTGTGGGCTATTGTGCTCCAACATACGACGCATAATGTAGGTAATATCAACTGGGCTAACCCCTGATCAACAGAAATAGAAGTTGTGATGCACCAGATTGTTTAAACCGCAGCTATACTTTTAATTGCTATGTCCTCTGCTCAACCCTCGTCTATACACACGGTTCAAACTCAATCCCATCAAGGCACAAGCTGTGATGGCTGTCAGCTTGTGAGCGCTTTCAGTGTCGCGGAGGTCACAACAAACGGTTAAAGACACAAGCTGCAATGGTTGTCACACAGATCGCTCAATTGCCGCTATACAGAAAAGGCATTTGATGATCAAAGGTTAACTCCTAGACAAATCAAAGTTTAAGAACATCTTAGCAGCTGCTGCCAGAGACTCGCCACTTTTGACATGCGAGTCCATACTGCAGATAAAACAGACAAGTAGCCTGACCCACATGCAATTCGTGCAACATTGTCGCAAAAAAGAAGAACATACAGCAGGGAACTGCCCTTCCATAGAGAATACTTTGCCTCAACTCTTAAACCACAAGCTGTTCGCAGAGCACGCACACACACACACACACACACACACACACACACACACACACACACACACACACACACTACAAGAAGAACAACTCTTCTCATGTTCAAATATAAGAGCCACAGAATACCTGGTAACGCCTGACCTTCACAAAGAATAGTACCTCCATTAGTGGTGGCGAGGCACTTTCTTCTTCCTCTTCTTCTTCTTCCGCTCCTGCTCCTGCTGCTGCAGCTGCAGAAGCAGGTGGCTGCAGACCATTCTTCAGTGTCATTTTGCTGCTCGGTATGGCCTTTGCCACACACAGACGAGCACCTCTTCGGGCTGCATCATGCCTCACTCATGTGTGCAGCTCTGTTCCCTCAATACGCCCACGGTGCTCACAAGTCCACGCCCCCGAACCTCTCCCTAGAGTTGGCTCCAAATAGAAATCCCACGGCATGAGTCTTCGCTGGTTTCCTACCAAACACTGCCTTTAACTCCCCCACCAAAGAGACCGTCAACTAGTCAATACATGATAGTAACAGAAGCATCAAGGTTCAATTTCTCGTCCATTTCTGAATCGCAATTTGGCTGCTTATCGTGCGACATATCAGAGCACAGCATTTGAGAAACACCGTTAAACCGCCAGTACACGGCCCCAGCTTTGTTAAAAGATTTCATTTCATTGCCAAGGAAATTCAAATTTCATAGGCTCGATGTTACCCGACCACAATGGCTGTCGGCACCAGCCAAAAAAGAAGTCCACCCCTTTGCTGCCTCCTTCCCTACTCACTACTTACTCTCCCTTTCCGTCCCTCCTTCGTGGTCCAGCTAGAGACAGAAAACCAAGGGGAGAGGAAAATGCCATGATACACTGATCTTCTCCCGTCATATGACCTCCAAATCCACAAAGGTATTCATTAGCATGAGGTGAAACTCTCAGAATAAAACCTAAGAGTCAGCTACCAACCATTGACTGGGTCCTTTGTCCTTGCTGACCATTGCTTTTTCCACTGACTGTCCAATCGACAGTCCAATCAACTGAAGAATTTAATGTGCCTGATTATCATGGCCTGGCCATCTCTCTCTCTCTCTCTCTCTCTCTCTCTCTCTCTCTCTCTCTCTCTCTCTCTCTCTCTCTCTCTCTCTCTCTCATCCCGCCCCTTCACTACCCTCAGGCACACGGCGTCTGATGTCTGCAGCCATTCCAAGCTGACCTAACCATATTGGGAAAACTCTGGCGAAACAGGTCACCTGCTCAGGAAAACCTTTTAGCCGCCCATTGCTGAAAATGGCAACCACCAAAGCGCCTTACTTGGCCTGTCACCAAATATGATCACCCTACAAGAAACACCTGCCATGCCCGAAGGCCCTGTACAGCAAAGGTCAGCTCTCTATCGACCTGCGAAGCATCCAAAGGCACCACTCAATGAACTCCCAGAAACATTGGGTGTGCAATACCGTAACAAAGATTGAACCTCTTGGGGCAACTGACAGACTCAGATCTCCAAACTTTACAAGGCACAACGTCCGGTCCACAATGAAAACTCTGGGAACCTGCGTGCCATCCCTTTCTTGCCGCCGTTGCCGGGTTATAGTCGCCATCACCACCACCCTCGCCTCAAACATGACTCTGAGACCAAAGTCACAACACAGTCAACACGTTCTGATCCTCGCGCCATTGGCAGACGAGACAAAGAGACTGCATGCCTACCAGTCAGGGCATAACAGAAGAATGCACTGCCGGCGTACGAGGACAAAAAGATTCGCCGCCACCCTGCACATCCCTTCTTCTTCTTGCTTCACCCCTCCATCACAATCCTACACTTTTCCCCTCCTGTTACGACCCTGGACTTCCCATCCTCCCCATCACCACAGCTCCATATCTTTCATAGTCTAAATCCTCTGTTCTCTGTCATCTTTCTCCCAGAGACGTGGTCCTGTGCCGACTGCGAACCTGTTTTCTCCAGGATAAGAGCATAAGCAGGATCAACACCAGAACTTAACCCAAATGAAGCGATCCACGCACATCTAGGATCTCAGCAAAACCTCATCCTAATGGAAGGGATTGATCATGAAGCGAGCCTGAGAACTGTACTTACTCTCAAGCCTACTCAAGATTGGGTGTTTGAGATGGGGGTCCAACCCTATACATTGAATTGAGTCGACTTATCTGTGAAAAGAAGGGCCGGCTTAGCTTCCTCCCACCTCCCTCCGAGTGGCACTGGTCCTTTGTATTGGAACAGTTGTCGATGTCACAGTACTGCGTCGACTTGACGGCGATGGGAGGCCGCTGCTTGACCTGCTGCTCTGCGAACTGTTTGATCGCGACAATGATGCTCTCCTGCTGGTGCTCCTCAATTCCTGGAGCCTCGCCAATTCCCGGTCAGCTTCAGCAATCTGCAACTCCATCCCAGAAAACGAGACAAATGCCCTCCTCAGTGCATGCCATCTTTTGCAGCCGATCAGCTACCGCTCAACTAAGTGAGCATCCATCCATTGGCCATCAACTCCATTCTCTTGTTGCTTCGGAGTGCAGTTGCGGCAACAACGATCGATAACAAAAACAAAAGTTAAACAACCTCACTAAAGACAACCGCAACCAAGCATCCCAATCTCATGCAGGGGTACCTGCCCAGTGGCAGAATCACAGACAAGGTGGCATCCATACTGCTGCCAACCCGCCGCCGGTGGGGTGTTCGCGATTTCAGAATCTATCCAACAGCACGCCTCCCCATGACAGTTAATGATCACTGATGCTGGAAATCGTTTAAAAAAAAAATAGGTAGCCCATTCATGAATAATGTGCATAGCTTCCTGAAACAGGAGAAAGCTTCGGGAGATTGTGTACAAGACTACAAGAGGCATAGAAAGTGTATCTAGTACCTACATATTACCGACTTCCAACCGAATAGAATGCCCGGTCATTATCGCTGTACCTATACTGAAAGTTGCCCTGAATACAGCTATAAAGACCTGGCGTTCTATTCGGGTGAAGACGGTAGCGGAATAACGATCCAAAAGACGGAAGCGAAAGACATCCGGACGATTGCAATGATATTATGAAAACTTCAGGCCCACAATTCACTTGAAAAATGCATGTCGTATCCAGCAGTGCACGTGGTGCACGAGCACCAACAATCCCGAAACTTTGGAGTTCAAAGATTCTGTGAAAGGACTACATCAGGGACAAAATTATTTCAAGGTCTCAAGGTCTCAAGGTCTCAAGCACCATTTGGCTGGGAGAGAATTTATTTTCTTTTTTCTTTTCTTTTTAAAACTTTGGAGCAGTTCTCGATTTGTTGAAGTCATCCTTGCACAGGGGGCATGCTAATTTTCTGTGTATAGTTTGAAATTCAACAGATGCCCCCGACTTCCCGACGGACAAGCTGGGAGCAAACTTTTGAACTTCGACGCTACGAACTCGGCTCTTTTCAAGTTTTTCTTTTCTTGGAAAATCTTTCCACACCAGTTTTTGGCACACTGCAGAGCACACTGTATACCACACAGGTTCATGGTACATATCATGGTTACGCCGAACCCGGACCGGGACACAGCGGGACGTCTGGCCAGACTGATGTTCGGAAAAATCGGACACAAAAAAAAAAAAAGGGGTTACGGAAGGTTTACAGACAGGGTGTGAATTAGGCCATACCTACCTGAAGGCAGTATCCAGCCTGTGCACCTCTCTCTCTCTCTCTCTGGCCATACCTACCTCAAGGCAGTATCCAGCCTGTGCACCTCTCTCTCTCTCTCTCTCTCTCTCTCTCTCTCTCTCTCTCTCTCTCTCTCTCTCTCTCTCTCT